TAATAATTAAATAGATATCTCTGACAGTATTCTAAATGGAATTTAGATTTAAATAGTTTCACTACAAGAGATACTTTTCCATAAATAAATAACAATGATTCATTTACCCAGAATTAATTACTTATAAATACAAATGTTAAGAGTCTTAGGATCTTATTTAAGAGGAAGTATTAAAAATATTCAGTGTTATTTATCTTAAATGTAAGTACTTAATAAGTGAAGAATTAATACTTGAATTACAAAATCCTCTCCCAGCATCACCAGCAAGTACTGGCAGGTAGGGAGAAAGAAGACTATTTCTTCTGCTTTGGATGGGGCTGCCGTCATGGCCAGCTTGATGTACCTGCACTTCTTAAATGAAACCCATAGAAGTATTATAAATAATGTTAGGTTCTCTGGTGAGCTTGCACCCTCTTATTTAATATAATGTGTGAGAAATATTTAAAAACATCACAAAATTAAATCTAACTGAATTCCTTAATGAGGGGCCACAGCTTTTCACATCTATAACCCATCATCAAGAACAGTGCCTGGCAGAGAATATGCTTATTTATTATTATTAAGAGGCAAAACGTCAGAAGTGTCTGTTAAAAGACTAAGCTTTTCTTTAAAAACAATGGTGTTAAACATTTTTTTAAGCCCACTCTTTTTTAAAAAACTCATTCCTCTCTTAACTGACAACAGAATCCACTCTGAGATTTAAAAAGAAGCAACTTAGTTACAAAAAATACCACAAATCAGTTTTTGGAGTTATACAAATTATAGCAAAGCAAAATAGGAGATATTTCAAGGGCCTAGAGTCAAAAATGTAGGAAGGGGCAAATAATCTTCCCTTTATAACCTTTGTAACTCTGGGTGGAAAGCAACAAGTCAACAACTTGCACCTACCATCTGTTACCAGCACTATCAACACAACTTAAGTAATTCAACTGCACAGGAAAACAGGCATTACATAAATTCCATTTTAAGATGTGCACCATTACACAATTTCCCTTTATAATATCATGTGGTACTTTTATTCATTAGGTAGAAGTGAGTTGGTTTCTTTGATAACTTTAAAGCTTTAAAATAATGTCAATTACTTTCCTTGATAACTTAAAAATTTTAAAGGAATGTCAATTACTAGATGTGATCCAATTGGGGAGAATGAAAATTATTAGGTGAGAACATTTAAGAGAAATTACTGGAGTTTGCAAAAGCAGGATCCAAGCTATTTGAGGCTATCTTCCTAAGACACTTTGATTCAAACCTGGAAGAACTGGCCACCATGACATGTCTTCACTGGTCTTTTCACTCTACTGTTTCCAGTTACTTCATTCAGGTATGCTTGGGCATCCACTTTTCTTTTTGCTGTCAGACAGCAGTAAACATGTGCTACAACTTCATCAAACTTGAAATACTGAACTGGTCTTTCTTAACCATGCAGTCTAATCCTAAGAGCTGGTAAGCAGTATTTAAAAGCCTGAAGTGCTTAAGAAGCTTTAACATAGAAATAAAAGGGGACAACCATAATATGTGGACATCCTATAGAATAGTTCATTCCATCACCATGATCATAGGGGAGCATAAAGGATAGATACCTTATTTGTTTAGTTTCACATACGGAGTGAATTGATATATAACTGACCAACACAAAATCCTAGGCTCCTGAGAAAACTACAAGAATCATGTTATGAGAATTAAAGACTCCTATCCTAATGGTAAAAATTACCTATAGGATAAATGGGTATCATTAATTTTTGGTGGTAATCCTCTATCACTACAACATTGCACAGCCACTTAATGAGACCAAGTTTATTTCATCACATGCTATAGTGTGAATAACAGAAGACAGTATTTATTACTTGCTATTATTGAGCTGTTCTGTCTGCATTAAATATATTATCTCATTTAATATTCACCTCTACTAGTAGGTACTGATAAGTAAACAGACTCAGAGATATCAAATAACTTATTCAAGGTCACACAACTAGTCTTACAGATTATTATGCCTCTAAGTTCTTAATTATACACTATGCTTAATGAAACTTCAAATACATGTTTAAGAAGAGAATATATTCTAAGCCATTTAAATTTTTTTAAAAATGTGTTCACTGAATTGGCATTTTTTTTTAAAAAAAGAAAATCCCACACACATTCCAGCAAGTTTTAGTACTCTTGCCAAAAAAAGCGCAATTCAATTCCAACTAGTCTATACTCTCATTTATATTCAGAATATAAGCTGGGCATGCGTATGTAATGAATGTGTGTGTGTGTGTGTGTGTGTGTGTGTGTGTGTCTCTCTGTGTGTATAACACCCACATTATTCAAAAGCTCCCAAAAATGTGAAAGTTTGTTCCAATTCTTGTCTATTTTGTCTACTTTAAGAATTCTTTGCAATATGCTTATGTAAATACTGATTTTAGCTGCTGTTCACATTTCTCAAATCTTCTGCTTTTAAATGGATTGGAAAAGTGACAGACCTAAGTAGACATCTTTGGAACACAAAACCAAGGAGATACAAACAAATACAACCAGATCAAAAACAAAGGCTTCTCCTTTAAAACCTTTAATTTATTGCTACTGATACATTAAAAGAACCGAAAGTAGAATATACTGGCTTTGGCTAAAAGAGTGAGAGGGAGATGAAAAGAGAGTCTGTGTGTATTTCTGTGTGTGTGTGTACATGCATATGCATGTGCTCAGGTGAGTGTCTATTTTATTAGCACATACAATGAACAGCATTTTACTTTATTTCACTGAATGCTCTATAGGACCATAAAATAGAAATGAAGGAAAATTCTGAAGTTAGAGTGATGCTGGGGCATGGGAGAGTGTTTAATAAAACAGTTCCAGATTTTTAAACCAAATAGATAAGTGCCTTCAGGTTCGTACACCAGAATTCACAATATGGTTGAATTGCATTAATAGCTGATTGACTCTTCGGGTGATCTGCCTCTGTCCACATTCCAAAGAGATGCTGAAGATTATGGACAGAGTTGGAAAACCACCATTCAACTTACCTGATGCTGAGACTTCTTTACAGACAAAAGTAAAGAGCTATTATGAAATCACAGGTCACAAAGCACAGTACAAAGAGTATGTTGGCAAAGAGCTAATATAAGTTGTGAACATATCATTTCCACCTAAAAGTGTAAAACTTATCAATGTTAGTACCTGAAATTAAGTTTTACATTTGATACTGTTGGAATCAAAGTTGAAACAGAAGACACTTTTGATGAGAACCTAGCAACAATATCAATGGATTTGTACTTTGATAACATAACAATCACATTATTGGAAACACATTCTAATTAGGGCATTTTTGTCATAGTTGAGAGCTGCACATACATCTGGTATATATCTTCTCCATGTAAGCTAATAATACAATAGATTTTATATAAACAAAGTAAGTCTACAAGCAATTTTACCAAAATAAGGAAGAAATTTTACATGCGTTCAATCTTGTATAAGTGTAAAAATCCTCTTAGATTCATAATTAAAGACTCTTTAACTCATAAGACAGTATTTTTAGAAAATAAAAATAAACATTCCTTGAACTAGAGAGAAAAATAAGTGACAAAAAGCGTAACAAAAACCTCAGTGTTTTTAGAGATGACTTTCTTCTTTTAGGGCACCACTCTAACGATAAAAAATACTAGAATGCTCAGTCAAGAAGTGATCAAGGACTAAGGTAATGGCTTTGGCCTTGTTTCTGCTAAAGAAAGCAAAGTGGTAGAATTTAGCTTTTGGATGGAGAATAGACATCGGTAGTCTCCAGATTTTACTTACAGCATCTCAACCCACATCCAGCCTGGTGTGAAGAGATGGCAGATGGGACTACGTCTGTTATTGCAACTGCTGAAGCAGGATACTGAATGTAACCTGCTTGCTTCTGTAAGAATGAATATTCAGCCACAATAAGTAGGAGCAAGGATAAGTGTGCTAGCTGTATTAAGCAGGTACCAAATCATCTTTATCCTTTTTCTCCTCGTATTATAGGTTAAGACTCCCAAAAAATCAACATCTAGAAAATGCTACTACTGTCAAGCTTGTAAATGTGTGAGAGAAATGTGTGGGCAGTAGTAAACCAGAGTAATAGCATCATATTACAGGGAAAAAAATTAAAAGCAACTAAAATAAATCATTAATTATTTTCCACTTTATCTTATTTTCATGATTTCATTATTTTTTCAAAAAATGCTAAGCAGGCATTACAGTATCAGTGTTCATCTTTCAGAATACAAATCTGGTTCCTTTAAAACCACAATAAATTTCCACATTGGCATGTTATCCTGTTGTATAAATAATGCTTATTTGGAATTATTTTCCTTTTTTACCCTGAAAAAGATTCTTGAATCCAAAATGGTAATTTTGCTATAAATAAGAGTAATGAAGTAATTTCTCTGTGTGTGAATGAAAAATATTGTGATAGATAATAAGGTCCAAAAATAAAATAATATACCTATATTTGCTAAAATGAGGAATTTAGGGATTGCTAAAAGAAAACCTAAAAGCCACCTACCTGGACAGTGAGGGAAAATATCCATTAAAATACCACCTCTCATACAAAACAAAAAGGTAATTCATTGTATACATGCATGTGTATATGTAGGATACGTAGAGAAGCTCTTTCAAGAAATCTTGAAAGTGAATAAATACCTCAATGCATAATCTGAATTCCATCTACCACATGACACTTCTCACTAAAAAAACAATTATGGAGAAGAGGTGGCATAAGCCAATCAGGTTTCCCTGTATCTCCTTATACTTCCAGATTAGGAGCAAATGTCCCGGGTGATGGGAACCAGGCATACATCTGATTGACTTATGATCCCTGGGGCCCAGCAGGTTATGTCTTTTAAAAATAAAACAATTCTTAATAAAAGGGTGGAAATCAGTCTACTCTTTAGGTCTGAGAGGAGATTTCTTAGATTTTTTTCACATCCCAGTGAGCATTCATTATAGAAGTAAATCAATGCCAACACAAGGCATGTATGTGGAAGTTGAGATACACTTACGAAGTAGCCTGTTCCCAAGCTGGAAGGAGCTGAACTCTGCAATAAAGCATAAAGACAAAGTGGAAAATCAGTGATGGTTTTTAACACGTTCCAATCCACATAGCTCATTACCAGCCCTTTGCAGGCTTTCATCACTACATCCCATCACCAGAGTATGCTGCCCCTTGTCATCTGCTACTGATACAAACACCGTGTTGCTTAATTTTCCCCTTTACATCTCTCAACAACTCAGAGATGCTAACGTGCTATTTACTGAATTCCAAGCTTCTGCGGTGGACATAATTGCCAATTTATTTGACAGGCAGCTGGGTAATGAATTAATGATGGCATTTCGCCTTGCACTGAGACTAAACAGACACACATCAGCCTGCCTCCCTGACTTGCTGACATTCAATGCCCTGGTCTCAAGCTACTCAGTTTTGTGGCCGCAAAGGGGCAGGCAAGAGGAAAAAGCCCAGACTGACTTGAAAATAAAAAGCCCAGTGGGTTTAGATGACTTTTCCAGTGTGTGACCTACTTGCCAGTTTATTCCCTACAGGGACCAGTTAGTACACACACAGTGCTTTTCAAAAATGAGACATTTTGTAAACGTAATTAGTAGACTAAAATGCAAAGAATGTGTGGGCACAGGGAAGCAGTGAAAAGCACCATTTTTCTGAAGGTTTTAGTCACAAGAATCGTCAACATAGGCTGCCATAGTTCTGACTCACATGGAACATAAAAACAGTCATTCTGAAAGGAACACAAGGCATCACTTATTTGGGGAAAGAAGCCAAAAAGAGAACATTTTGTTTGTGTTTTAAACTTGTCTGAGATTCTTTTTTTTATGTATGTTTCTTTTTCCCCCTAAAGCCTCGCTTATAAATTCTTTAACTTTCAGCATCCTCTGTGTGATTAAGAGAGGCCCCAAACTGGCTTGGAATGAAAATAAAGCTAATGCTGAGTCAGTTTTCAGGGTTCACCTATGCATCCTTGCTCCATTCAGGCCTTTTCCCTGAGAAGCTTAGGCAGGATGTTACTCCTTCCCCAGAGTGGCCTGACTTCTACCCTCCCTCATACAATAGTTACTCAATTCACTAGCTCTTCCACCTACACGTCCTGCCCCTACTCTGAAAACTACAGGTAGCAGGGACCATCTGGCTTATTCATCATTGCTTCCTCAGAGTTTAGTGCAATGCCTTGCACATGGGATGCATTTAATAAGTAATTGTTGAATTAATGTATAAATAAATGAACAGATTATATAGCAGAAAAAAGGCTCAGAAGAATCTGACATCTTCAAAAATATTGTATATTTGATTCTTCTTGATTTAAAACTGTTTGAGAAGGATAGATGGTGGCTGTAACTACATCTACATCAAATGAGGAAAGTATGCTGCAGGACATTCTTAAATGCAGTACCCAAAGTGTCTTTGTTCCAGTGTTTCAGACAAGCTCAGGGAATAAACCACCACAGATGTATGATCTTCCATATTGGACTCAGTTTTTAAGAATCCTGCTGCATTTTTGATCGCATAAATGGTATGGAGAAAGATCCACAGCAGTCATGGAGACAACTTCTCATACCAGTGATTAACCATGTGACACCATCACCTGTTTTTGGCACCCACAGCCCTTCATGGAGCAGGAGAAGTGAAAAGCCAAGTTAGGTCTCCACTAGCCTGGAATATTGTCCCTGGGAAATAAACTCATTTTAGGATGAACTGCTCAGAGAGACCCTGGGATTTGTTTATTTCATTTTCTCCCCCTTCCTGCAAATGTATTTTATCCCAGAAGAAGTGCCCCTCCAAACCCACCTCCCCCGCATATACATATCTTCTTACTGTATACCAAAGAAAATTATATCCTTCAGGTCTCGGAAAGCTCTGTTATGCTCATTTTGCATATATATTGTACATTACTCAGGGAGCTGGGTGGAGAAGAGGGCTTTGTTGTGCATATTTGTTCTGACTATTGTTTATGCAGGTCTGACTGAATGAGGGAACAGTGGGTATCATTTCAATTTCTGATGTCAACATCAAATTACTTATTTAATTTCATGCCTGGCGAAGCATTGTATAGCTACACGCAGAATCATTTCACTTCATTTGTTATGCTGTGTTTTTGTGGCGATTGACTTGCCTTCCAACTGACAGCTTTAATTATGACATGAATTTGATTGCACTGCTGAGGAATTAACATAATGCAACAAAGCATTTAAGCACCCTGCCTTATCGTCCCCCTCCCACATGCACACAGGCACACACAAACACACACAGACACACGAAGGAACACAGACACTAGGTCCTGATGTACATTAAAAGACCACTGGAATTTGTTTCAGCATTTGCTAGAAAGCATACAGAATCTTAGAATCAGAAGCTATCCACATTTGCTAAATTACTATACTCACCTTTTTTTTCTGAGGAATTAACATAATGCAACAAAGCATTTAAGCACCCTGCCTTATCGTCCCCCTCCCACACGCACACAGGCACACACAAACACACACAGACACACGAAGGAACACAGACACTAGGTCCTGATGTACATTAAAAGACCATTGGAATTTGTTTCAGCATTTGCTAGAAAGCATACAGAATCTTAGAATCAGAAGCTATCCACATTTGCTAAATTACTATACTCACCTTTTTTTTTCCCCCCCAAAGGGGAAAAGATTTGTGGCATTAAGTTGTGGCTTCTGGACCTGGCAGAAAACTTTGCAGAAAGACCCACTTCTTAATCTACTTTGCTAAATGTCCATGTCAATGACATTTCCTCCCGTCTCACTCCCTCTCTATCACATTTTTCTTGGCTATCTAACAGCTCTCTTCAATCATTGCTGGAGAATCTGAACAGAAGCAGCATCTATGGGCATTACCCCTAGTTACTAACAGGACCCCCACCATCAAAGTATAGGTAACAGAAGTTACCAGCAACAGGGAAGAAATTGGGGTTTGACTGATGCTCATAACAAGCACCATATATTCTGAGGTCTTGCTATCCAAAAAGCCCAGAAAAGTGTCTCGGTCATGTCTGCCTAACCTAAGTGTTTCTAAAGACAGCTGTAAATATTTAATAACTTTAATAATTCTCCAACTCAGAAATTACATGAACACCACAAATCATAGGCAACAAAGGATTATGCTACAAAAATGGAATAAATATTTAGAAACAGCTTTTTTATTGTTCAAAATGTGTTGTTATTCATTTACAGACATGTATTTAGGGATTGGTACTGATATTTCTTTTTTGTAGGAAAAGAGACAGACACCAAGAGGTAAAAGCCTAGGAAAGCAGACAGGTTGCGATGCCCTAACTTTCGAACAATTTGATGGAACCCTTCTTCAGTAATCAAGTTGATTTTAACTTTCTGTATTTCTCCAGACAATTTCTAATGAGGAAAAGAGGGCTTCCATTTTTCTTGGTTGGACAAACTCTATCCAAACTATATAGCAAAAGTGGCCACAGAATTCAGATAAGGCTGCAAGTCAAACTGAGACTTGGAAAATTAAGAGATTTTTATTTTAAGGAAGAAACAAAAGTTTCCTTGGTTTCAAAAAACATTTGAAATAATACCATCCATCCATGTTTAGGCAAATATGTGACAGAGTTGCCAATTCATTCACATTTTCAATACAACAGGTAGAAACAAGAGCTATTATGAGGTTGAGAAAATAGGGTAGGAGAACATGCTTAGTGGTTTGCATGAGAAGACAGGGATATGAGGAAATATCGTCCAGTTAGCTAACTGATACACAATTTTTGGGCTCATTATAAGCCATTTCTTGTTTATCATGGTCTTTTCACTCTGGCTTTTTGGGGTTTTTTTTGCAGATATGACCACTGCTCCAGCAATCTCTGCAAATTACCTGCCTCGATCTCATTATGTTGTAAAGGAGAGCTTTCTTAGAAACATGCTCTGCCTCAATCTCCATGCTAGCATGAGCTGCAGGAACAGTAATGGGATGCTCAGTTGAAAGACATCTTCCAGGAGGAGGAATGTTGCTGCTTACATTCAAGTTTGCAAATGGATATTCATTAAACACTCATTCTCCTTACTCCCCACACCCCACGTGCCTTTCTTTCCACCTCTGTCACTAAGCTATCCTTGAAGCTACTCATTAAACTCATGAAGTTAACATTTGTTTTAACAGCTTACCTACAACAAGGGATTTCAAAATTGATTATCCATCTAATATAGATGTGCTTCATTCATTATAAATCCACACAGAGGCCATGCATACTATTACAGCTCCCTGAGTAAAGGACAAATGTGTACTCCACACCTAGGTGAGGATGTGTGTTCTGACCCTAGGGCTAATTTAAACTGAATATTTAAAATTCTTTCAAATCGCCAATTGTGTCTGATATCCCTGCTTCCCCACCTCCATGCTATGCTTTTCTCTCTTTGGAGTAAAAGGGAGAAGGATCATGCTAGGAATCACATGGACAAGTAAGTTTCTTGCAAGGGTCACAAAACAAGCTCATTCACAGATTTTCCTTTAGTATTTTAAAAAGCAATCACAATGAAAAGAACGTGAAATCTTACACCGAAGAAATGTGCCTTGGACATAAGATTACTAATAGTCAACAAAGAAACACAAAATATATTTGAATGAGGAAATTAGTTTGTAGTTACTGGAGAAATTGAAGTAAAAATGGAGCAACAACTTGATAAAAGGATCAGGAGTGGAAATGCTAGGTCACTTCCAACATCAATTATTCAAGCCTCCGTTACACCCACTTAAAGTTGTCACAAGCTCTCATCTACACTCAGGAGTCTTCTGGCTTCTTTCCCTGACTTCACTCCTGCTCCCATTTTCATCTTCAGTTCTTCCTATAAAAGGCAAACTAAACATTTTAAAGTGAAAATGATAACATCAATCTTTTTAACATCTTCCAGTGGCTTCCTAAATAATAACCCATAGAGGGTTGAACAGTGTCCCTCCAATATGCACATATACCTGGAACCTCAGTATGTCACTGTCAGGTCAATTTTATGTGTCACCTTAACAGGGCCATAGGGTGCACAGATATTTGGTCAAACATTATTC